TGTCTGGCCACCACAGCTGCTGTGAGTTCATGGCTGCAGTGGTTCTGTGGTGTCTAGAAGGCACAGTCTCACCCCAGCCCTGTCCAACCTCCACTGTCACCATCCGCCTTCTTCCTCCATGTTCCCTAACTTTTAAATATAAAAACACATTCTCATTTCTTAGTTCCCTATGTTAGACTGTGATAGAGATTTAGGGCTGGAACTATACCCACTCTCTATTCCTTTGCACTGTGAGCAGCTCTGTAGTAACTGTTGTCCACTACCCAAAGCTCCTCCAATGAGGGAGGAGAGGCACATCCATCCATGAAGAGTTTGAAGGGCCTTAGCACAGCGCTGCACTGTGGTCACAGACACAGTAATTCTTTTAAAGGAGAAAGCTCTGCAGGAGGTGTGGAAAGAGCTTATCATGTAAGGGAAGAGGTAATAGCTGAGAGTTTGGGTGTGAAAGGTCCAGGCATGTCCCTGACTCACAAGGGCTGCCAGTGTAGAGATGAAAGAGGAAAAGGAAACAGAAAAACAGAGTTCAGTATTCATGAAAGGTGGCAGCATCTATACCCACACCCCAGGAATTCTGAAAGAACTCTCCCTTGGGCTCAAATATCCCACCAACCCTAGTTCATGGCAAAGGACCTGGCTAGAGCTTTCTGTATGTAATGAGAGCTCTTGTGAGTGACACTCTTCAGAGATCAAAGCTGTGTGTGTGTGAAGTGTTTGCTGCACAAATATAAAGATCTAAGTTTGATGTCTAGGACCTGTAAAAAACCCAGGTGTGGGGTCATTAGAATCCCAATGCCAGGGAAGCAGAAACAGGCATTCCCCTAGGGCTCACCAGCCAGCCATAAGCCCATTTAATATTTAATAAGGGAACTCATTGATAGAGAGATAGGAGGGTGAGAATGACTCTGGAAATACATCCTGGCCAGAGAGAGGGAGACAAAAGAAGATTTTGCTTTTTCTATGAATCTTAAATCATCACTTTTTAGTTAAAGTGATAGGAAAATGCATATATTTCAAATTCAAACTACCATGAGATTATCAAGGCACAACTATGAAAATGGAGAGAGACAGACAAATAGAATGCCAGAGAGATGCTGCTAAGGGAAGGAATATTTTTAAAAATTTGAGAAGCTCATATCTGCAAGTTTCAGGAGTATGCAATCAGAACACCCCATGGTATTGCCGAGTAGTTAAAATAATTAATAAATGCCGTTGAGCTGACTCAGGCTTATAAATCTAGTACTCAGGAGGCTAAAGTGTGAGGGCATGAATCTGAAGGCCCTGTCTCAAAAAGGAAAATGTTAACATATCTTCAAGCAGGAGACAGTGGCATTTTCTATTTCAAGATGGGCAGCAATAGAAAGATAATGCATGAGGGGACTAGAGTGTAGCTCAGGTAGTAAAGTGCCTGCCGGGCAGGCACAGACCCTCCCTGGGCTCTGTTCCCAGCACCACATATTCTAGCTGTGGTGGTGCCTGTTGGTAATCCCAGTACTTGGGGGATGGAGGCAAGAGGATGAGAATTTAAGGTCATCCTAGGGAGTTTCAAGTCAATCCAGATGACAGAGATGCTCTGTAAAAAGGAGGAGGAGGAGTGGAGTTGATGACGCACTCCGAATGCTTTTCGGTGATTTGTTGTTGTTGTTTGAAAAATATAGAGGTTTTTGTTTGTTTGTTTGTTTTTCAGAAGAAAGTCAAAGTAACTTTGAGCCATGCATTCCTGAGCAGCAAGCTATTTCAGTTATCACAGGAAACACTAAGGGATATCCATGCTTGCCAAACCGCTCAGCAATCACTGTTCACAATGGCACTTTTCTAGAAGGTTCCATAGATTCCCTGATCTTCATACTAGAAAGTAGGGAGTTGTGACTGCATTAGGGAAAGTGTTCCATCCCCCATAGTTTCTTGAGATTTTTGTTGAGGTTTGATCTTGGCTTAGGGCTCATGTTTTTTTCTTTGAAGCATAGTTATAATCTGAGTCTCAAGTCTAGAGTTTGTCCTTGTTGCTTGTTCTACTAATCTGACATTGAATCTTTGCCCAGAACATTCTGTTTTACTGTGGTGTGTGTGTGTCTGTCTGTCATGTATGTATGTATGTATGTATGTATGTATGTATGTATGTATGGGCATGCACTTGACACATAGGTCAACAACCTTGTGTGTCAGCCCTCACCTTCCACCTTGCTTACAACAGGGTCTCTCTTTTGTTGTTTTCTGCTGAGTCCACCAGTCTAGCTGGCCTGTGAGATTCCAGGCATTTGCTTGTTCCACTTCCCACCACACCACAGGAACACCGGGATAGACAAGAGCTACCATGCCAGGCTTTATGTGAGTTCTAGGAATTTGAACTCAGGACCTCGATTGCGCAGCACCAGCTTTACACCAAGACACTTTCTCTCTCTCTCTCTCTCTCTCTCTCTCTCTCTCTCTCTCTCTCTCTCTCTCTCTCTCTCTCCCTCCCTCCCTCCCTCTCTCTCTCTCTCGTTTGTTCTCTCTGTGTGTGTCCTTGTTTTGTGTGTGTTCCTGTTTGTAGGATGTGTGCGTGCATGTGTACAAATGTAAGTGGAGGCAGGAGTTGACATTCGTTATCTTCCTCAATTGATCTTCTCCTTATTTTCTGAGACAAAAATCTCTCATTTAACCCAAAGCTCAGCAGTTGGCTAGGCTAGCTGACTAGGGAGCTCCAGGGATCCTCCTGTCTCATACTGGTACAGACTGTGCAACCCTGCTCAGCTTTTTACATGGGCCCTGGAGATCTGAACTCAGGTCCTCATGCTTGTGCACCAGGCACTTAATCTGTTGAGTCATCTCCACCATCCTTGTTTTGCTTCTTTACAGCTACTGTCTTGGTCATCTCTCACTGTCAAGTATCCTGGCTCTCCGCCTATCTCCCACCCACCACAGTGAGCAACTTCAGCTACAAACCAGTGCACTAACCTCAGTGCAGCCTTCCAGCCTCCCCACTACCTTAGGAGAAGGAGAGTATTAAAGTTCTCCATCCCACTACATAGAGTGATTGAGAGTTCTAAGAGAGTTGTGTGTGTGTGTGTGTGTGTGTGTGTGTGTGTGTGTGTGTGTGTGTGTGTGTAAGAGAGACAGAGAGATCTAGGCATGTGTCACCCCTCCCCAGCCACCCACTGTCTCTTTCTATACTTAGTTTCTTCCAACCTTTCAACTTTAGAAGTGACATCAGCTCTGAACTCAGGCCCCACCCGGGTTACATCCATGATGTCCTGTGAAATTTTCAGCCTCAGCCAGTGTTGTTTTGAAATGCCAACCTAGGCAGGGCTTGCCCCCCCCCACCTCAGTGTGTTTTCCTGAAGACCAAGAGCCCTATTAATCAAGTATCTTTTCTTTGCACCCAGTGTGGTATCCAGAAGGTAGTAGGTGCTGAATATAAAGGTCAGCTGAATTTTCTAGAACAGTGTATCTTTAAAAAAATCCGGAGGGTGAGGACATAAGATTAGTTAGTGAAGTGCTTGCCATGCAAGCACGAGGACTTGGATTTTATCCCTAGAACCCATATTTTAAAAGCCAGGCATTGAGGCTGCAGAGAAGGCTCAGTGACTAACAGCACTCCCTGCACTATTAGAATTATGAGTTCAGATTCCAGCACCCACATCAGGTGGCTCACAATCCCCTTTAACTCCAGCTGATCACCGTGAAAGATAATTCCCATAGAATGTTCTAGAATGGGAAATCAGAGCTCTCCAGTAGCAAACAAGTCTACCCCTGAATTTAAATGCTACAAATTCCTGAAGTTGTGAAGATACCCCACCTATATAATGCAGGGATATCATTTAAAACATTTTCAGAGGACAATGGCACAGTTCAGTGGGTAAAGTCACTTACCACCAAGACTGACCAGTTGAGTTCTATGCCAGAATTTCACAGGGTAGAAGGAGAGGACTGACTCTTAAAGTTGTTCTCTGGCTTTCACTTATTCACCTTTGGCACATGCATCACACACACACACACACACACACACACACACACAGAGAGAGAGAGAGAGAGAGAGAGAGAGAGAGAGAGAGAGAGAGAGAGTTGTAATAATTTTTTTAAATATTTGAAAGTTTTGTTCCACCTAAGTCAAACCAGTGATGACAAAGCTAGGGAAACTGACAGAAAAATCACACACACACACACACACACACACACACACACACACACAGAGAGAGAGAGCGAGAGAGAGAGAGAGAGAGAGAGAGAGAGAGAGAGAGAGATACAAATATGCAATAGTTTTTTTTAAATGTTTGAAAGTTGTGTTCCACCTAAGTCAAAGCAGTGACGATAAAGCTAGGGAAACGGACAGAAAATGAAGAACGTGCTCCCAGGTCAACACCTCAACTATCACAGAAGCCCCTTAAGGCATATTAAAGAAATTCCATCCAAATTTATATACAGCTTTGTTTCAGCTCTGTGGATTTTCTTTTGGAAACAGATCTTCACACAGTCCAGGTTAGCCCCAAACTGCATAGCCGAAGATGGTCTTGAACTTCCCCTATCCTTCTGCCTCCACCTCCCTGGAGCTGAGGTCACAGGCATGCATCACCCATTTATGCCGTGCTTGGGATCGAACCCAGGGCTTCGTGTATGCTAGGTAAGCCCGCTACTGTCTGAGCTGCATCTCAGCCCCTGTGGGACTTCTTCACATCCTTTGACTTGTAGCATCATCTCAACACACACCCAGTGTGTCCTCATGAGATGCTCATTAAATAAGGGGCATTTCCTTAACAAGCACTGGCATTTATACAAGAGAAAATACTTAACTATGACTTTTAAAAAAGACCAGGCTTTAAGCAAAAATCGACTATACACCAAGGACACAGAACCTGTGGTCAGCTGTCCAGGAATTCCAGACTGATGAAGTCTAGCTTGTGAGAGTCAGGTGCAAAATGCACCTGGGTGCAAGCCTGAACCTCTTATGGTCTTGTCTCGTCTTGCTTCCCACCATCAGAGACTAAGTTCCTGTGAAATCGCATTAATGGGGAGTCGTACTTTACCATTGATTTCGAAGGTCTCCATCACACGGAACATGGCTTGGTCAAAATCAGCTCCTTCTTCTGTGCTCCCCAAGAAGGCTTCCTCCTTGAGGGTTTCTTTATCTCCCATTGCTAAATTTTATAGGTGGCCAAAGCTCTGGAGCCAGCAGAAATGCTTCCCTAAGAGGAAGCAGGGCTCCCATTTAACTGCAGCAGCTAGCTGGAGACCCGCACGACTTCCCTTTGGCAATGATTCTTCAATTTGCACAATGTTTCCTGACTATGGGACTAGGCTGTTCCTTAGTATATAGTTGGTTTTTGCTTAAAAATCAGGCTGTTTGCCTGTGGAGTTGTGGGGAAGCTGCCTGTTGTGGGGAATTGAAGAGATTTGGCGAAGATCCTCCTTGTCTTCAGGACCCCAGGTGACACCTAAATGTCCTTCCTTCTGCCTTCCTAATCCTACATTCATGCAGACACAGCTAGCTATTCCAAGATTCTCCAGCCCACACTGGAATCTTCCTCTGACAGACTTCAGGTCTAGTTCATCCTTAGACACAATGGGCTCCTGGATCAGCTTCAGGAGCATGGCTTGGGGCACAGACCGAATCGAAACCTATAGTTTAATAAGGTCCTCATGTGGTTTATAGTACATTAAAGTTTAGGAAGTAGGTTGGGAAGACTAAAGTGCCTGCTGGGCAACAGAGACATGAATTCAGATCACCAGAACCTATTCAAAACAAAAACAACAATGAAAACCAGGTGTGGTTGCAATGTCTGTCAGCCTAGAGATGGCAAGACAGAGACAGGTCCCCATGAGCACCCTGGTCAGCAGTCTAGCCAATCAAGGAGCTCCAGGTTGAATGAAAGAGAGGAGGTGGGGGGGGTGAGACAGAGACCAGAGATAGAGACAGAGAGCCTGCTTAAAACAGTAAGGTGGAGGGCCTAAGAGATGACTCAGCAGGTAAAGGCCCTTGTAGCCAAAACTGTCAACTTGAATTTGATTCCCAGGATTCACATGGTGAGAAGAGAGAACTGACTCCCACAAACTATCCTCTGGCCTCCACACATGTGTTTGCATGCCATCACATACATGGACACATACATAGGCAACACACACACAATTAAAGTTAAAACACTTTCACAATCACCTGGGAGGTTATCTTTCTATAGCACACTAGTAAGGTTTCTGCCCAAGCTTTCCATATCACACTCCTGTGTGTTGTGCATGTGTGCACACATTTGTGTGTATACATGTGCATGCATGCTTTCCTATGAACTCTGTGTATGCATGCATGTACCTGTGTGAACCTGTACATATATGTGCAATGTAAATGTATGTACACATGTGCATACACAAGTGCATGTATGACTTCCTGTGGACTCTGTGTATGTGTGTGTGTGTGTGTGTGTGTGTGTGTGTGTGTGTGTGTGTGTGTGTGTGTGTGTGTGTGTGTGTACATGTACATTCACTGCAGCTCAGTGAAGCCTAAGCTCATTTCTCTTGTCTCTGTTGAACCTGTGGCAGGGCACGACAATTAAGAAGCAGACGGAGGGGTACAATGTTTGCTGCAAACTCTATCTGGTCCTCATGGCAACTATGGGATGGCAGAAAAGTCACTCAAGCTGTGCCTACCTCTCCCTCACATTTGCATAATAAGGGAGACACTGATAACTGTTGTATTACTGAATAAAATCACATGAGTTCAGGGCTGGACCATAAGGAGGTTCTCTTGCAAGTAGGAACAGCTGATCTCATAAAGATGTTGGCTCCTTTGCTCAAAGTATCTTGTTTTACACTACCCTGCAAGTGTCAGGAGCTAAGTTCAATCCCCAGAACCCGTATATATATATATATATACATCAAGATGGATGCACAGTGTCTGAGGGGTAATGGCTGAGGCTGGCCTCTGGCCTCTGAACGCACATGTATACCCATATACATTAAGATAGTTGGGATAGAAAGAGTTAAAGGAGAGGACTGGGTCATGCAGAGGCAGCCAGCTGGCAGCTCCAACCAGAAGCCTGGGGCTGTCAGAGTGGGTGGCAGGGGTTGGGGCATCCCCAGAAGGGGAATTCCCAAAGCAAAGTGGCCTGCTCCTGGACTGCCCAAGCCTCCTGCCTTTCCCTGGTTCAGTGCTGTCCTTTTAGCAGCATGGATTCGGCTAACTGCAGAATGCTGTGTGAACTACTATATGCCTAGAGAGGTCACACAAAGAATGTCAAGTGTCCCTATGTTGGCTGTAGTCATAGAGTCAGTCAGAGCCAAGACTCCCAACAGGGCAACAGAGGGTGAAGTGAACTTAGGTGAAGTGTTCTCATGCACAAGCAAGAGGACATGAGTTGGGTCCCCAGTGCCCATGAAGAAAGCTGGGCATGGTGCTGTGGCTGTAATCCCATATCTGGCATATGGAGACTGGTGAATCCCTGGGGCTTGCAGGCAAGCTAGCTTAACCTACTTAGTGAGCTCAGGTTCAATGAGAGACTCTGACTCTAAAATATAGTAGAAAAGGCAGACAAGATGGCTTTGCAGGTAAAAAGCACTTGCTGCCAAGCCTGAGGGCCTGAATCTAATTCCCAGGACACACACGGTGGAAGGAAAGTTGCCCCCCCAAACACACACACACGCTTGCATACATGCATGTGCACACACAAATATACATATAACACACACAAAACAAAACCATATCTGAACAACAGCTCATGAACTCACTGTGCAAGTTCATTAACCTACTTAACTTCTCTGAGCCCAGCACAAAGCTGTAGCTCCCTGAGTACTTAAGCAAGATTTGTTATGGAGACAGGACTCACCACCCACAGTATGTAAGCTGCCTGGCATGCAGGTACCAAGAAGGTATCTGATTTTAAACTCAAGAATTTGCTTCTACAGCCTGTTAAGCCAGGGCTCTATACCTGAGGGTCCCAGGAAGGAGTTTTGTGAAATCAGACATGCCAGTTCTCCACCCTGAGCCTTAAGCCCTGGTCCATCTTGAGTTTCCAGGTCTGACCTAACAGCAGGAGGTTGAATTCTGCTGAGCAGAATCCCAGAGGGTTTGTTGTAATTTTTAAAAAGTAGCTCAAAAGAGCAACAGAGTTCAAGCAGAGGGCTTTTTTTAATTAGGGGGAAAGGATCCTAAATTAGGGTAGGGGGAGACTGTCTCCAAGGACAGGAGCAGTGGGAGAGAGGAAAAGAGAGAGAGGGAGAGAGAGAGAGAGGGAGAGAGAGAGAGAGAGAGAGAGAGAGAGAGAGAGAGAGAGAGAGAGGGAGGAACAGACAGAGAGATGAAAAGAGAGAAAGAGAGAGGGGATGGGAGTTGGGCGGAGTCCTTTTAAAAGGGAACAGTGAATAGGCACAGGTGGTGCTCTTAGTGGCAGCAGCTAAGGGTGTGAATGTTAGAACTCCAAAGGCAGGCCAGTAGAAATGCCTAAATACTAACAGGGTTCCCGTATAGAGGGGAGGCGGGACATCCCAGCACCTCCATCCTGTGTGGATTCCTTATTTCATAGTGGGATCCACTATGAAACTCACATATGTCCCTTTACACTCATGGTGACTGGACACTATATTGTGTGTGTGTGTGTGTGTGTGTGTGTGTGTGTGTGTGTATGTAGTGTGCCAGGTGCCAGAGGACAACCGTAGCTGCCTTCCCTCAGGTACCATCCTAAGAAACAGGATCTTCTCTGGCCTCTGAGTTGCAAAGTAGGCTAGGCTGACTGGCCAGTGAGCCCCAGAGAGACAGCTGTCCCCACCTCCTCAGCACTGGGATTGCAAGCACATGCCACTGTGCCTTATTGGGGGGGGGGGGGAGGCTGGATAAAGTGGTTCTGAATATTGAACTCATGTCCTCACGCGTATAGGGCAAATGCTTTATTAACCCAACTATCTCCCCAACCCTAAGATGAGTAGCATTCTTATAAAGATTTACTTGCTCATTTGTGTGTGTGCATGCCCGTCTGTTGTGAGTGTAGATGCGCACATGTGTACATGTGATTGGAGACCAGAAGAGTGCATCAGGTGTCCTTCTCCATCACTTTCCGCCTATTGTTCTAGGTGAGTTCTCTCCTGAACCTGGGACTTGAGTTTTCCCAGCTAGCCTGGAATCCAGTAACTCCTAGCAATCCTTCTGGCTCCACCACCCCCTCTTGTAGGCAAGTACAGGGTGCTGAGCTCCAAACTCATGTCCTCAGCATTGTGCAGCAAATGCACAACCACTGAGCCATGTCTCCAGCCCAAATAATATTTTAATGCAATATTTAAAAAAAAACAACTGCATGTATGCCACCAGCAAATTACCAGCATTTAAGTAAGAGCAGCCTCCTCCAGTACTGAGTGACTCAGCTCCTGTGGGCCCTGGTCCCAGCCACATATAAGACCTGGGTTTCAGCATCTTCATTACAGGGACCTCTAAAAGTTGCCCTGTGTAGGCTGAGGTGAGGATCAGAGGGCCTGGCAGATGTGTGGTACATTTGTAAAGGGAGGACTCTGCAGAGACTGGCATCATCTGCCAAGCCAGGCTATAAGGGGCACTTCATACCTTATCAGAGGTACCTTTTACAATCCTTTATATCTCCCACTAGGCACAGAACACACAGTTCCAGGGGTAGGTACAGTTTCTTCCCACACTCCACTTTAACACTTTTATGTCTAGGAACACAGATCTGACTGTTTCTTCCCCAGATGAAATGGCCTGTTTGTATTTGAGGACTGACTTGCTCAAGATGGGTTGGGGCTTCACTTCCCAGGCAGAGTGCATCTAATTGGGCTGGAGTATTGAGATGCATTCCAAAAGGCCTCAATGTAGTTATGTCCAGTTTTCTGATGTTCTCAGAAGTGACAGTCAAGGGCCTCATGCTGCCTTGGTAAGATGGGAGGAATGAGTATGAGGAACCCCAGGCAGGTGTGACCCCACTCTTGGAGTCCTCTACAGAGCTCAACATTCTACCACTTAAAGGGTCCCAGATTTGTTCACTGGTGAGCTGCCTGCATGTCCAACAAAAAGAGCCCTGCGGTTACCTTATTCTAGCCTGAAAATGAAGTGATGGTGTGGTGTGAAAGTGACTAAGGTAACACCATTTTGTCCTGATTCCATTTTATGTCTGCTTAGACACTCCCCAGCCTTCTACCTCCCAATC